AAACAGAACATAAAGACAAATCGATACATACATAAAAATTGAAAAAACAGTATGAACAATAGTAACTAATAGTGAAGAAGAAGATTACTTTACTGGCTTGATAGTTGAGACTTCGACACTGAGAGGACTGACTACTGAGTCACTGAGATAAAGAGTGAAGAAGAAGAGAGGCAGAACCGCGGAATCTAAGGCGACTGAACTCTGAACTCTGAAGAAGAGAGGCGGAACCGCGGAACAGTATGAACACTGAAGAAGAGAGGCGGAGCGGAACCCTGGACTGGTCAGTTCACTATGAACTTTGAAGAAGAGAGGCGGACTCACTGGTGAACGAACAGCTAGGGCTGGTGAACGCCTCAATGGTGAACGAACAGCTAGGGGCACGGATCCTAAGTGAAAGAGGCGGAAAAGAAGATTTAGGGTAGGAGAAATAGGAATAGTATTTAGGGTAGTATAGAACTATTAGTATAGTATACTAACTTAACCGGGTTAAGTTATTTAACCCTAAAGAATTTAACTATTTATATATAGGCCCATATAATTTCGGATCGGATCGGATTAAAATCATGCCAATCCGAATCCAATCCGAAAATCCGAAATTTTATAAAACATAATCCGTATCCAATCCGAAAATCCGAAATCCGAAATCCGAAAATCCGAAATAGAGTATGTCGGATCGGATTTCGGATATCCGATCTAAATGCACAGCCCTGGCATACGCTGTGGGAAAGTTCAATATATAGGAGACAATATTCTGAGCACAACAGTTACTTGAAGGAACACAGGCTGATAACGACAATCACTCCAGTGGAATAACGGGACGACATAATCAGATAATGGTTTTCCCACAGACTGGTCCTTCATTTCAACACATGCAATCCAAAAAATTGAAACACAATAATGATAATGCACAACGATAATCAGATATAGCAGCAAAGAAAAGTCGATGTTAAATTTGACCAAGATCAGAGACTGTATCATATGTTTTAATAAACTCACTGTGGACTGTGAGAGAATGGCTGAAATAGGGACTATTTCATCTTCAAAAGGTGTAACGCTTAGCATTGAAGGCGATTCTGATGAACTTTTCAAAGTATGTAATTAGCATCTGCACATTGTCCTTGGCCCTGTATTGTAATGGTAGATATTATGAATTTTGTTGGTATTAAATCTGGTAGTTTCACAGTGAAGTTCAGTTTTCTTCGTGCTTCTATGCTCTAAGTGTCAACATCTAGCACAACTCAAGCGCAAAAAGAAAATTCTCCGTATCAACTGCAAGCTATAGAGAATGTTGATTCCAAGGTAATAACAACGGTTACCATTGACATAATATAACTATAGACATCCAATAGCCAAAACTTAACTGTTTACCATATTTCACCTAAATTGACTTGCACAAAAACATATTGCAGATATGAATTTGAAGTTGAAATCACAGACGGGAGCAGAACAATAGCAGCAGTAGTGTAAGAGAAATTGGCTGAAAGAATGCTTTCATTAACAGCTGACCAAATATATGAAACTACCATTGTCAAAGTGTACATACTAACAACTATAGGATTATTTCCAACTTACTGAAAATTAAAGTTAAAATCTTCACTTTACTTATTCTGTATGCTCTAAACTTTTTCACGCACCTGCACAAGCTATTCAAAAAGAGACGGTCTTCAACTTGCCACGATCTTCAACATCAACGGCCATTGGCGAGGGAAGCAAAAGAAAGATAGAATTCATCATATCTGTAGAACCATATCACAGTCCATCAACAAAAAATACAACGGCAAGAAGGAAACTAAACATAGAATCACCAAATTCTCCGCAGAAACACCGAAGGTTAGAAGTTAAAACTTGATAGCTTTCAACTAACCGATAATACAAAGGTAATAACAACGTCAGGTTCAATCTTTTAACCTAAAAGGAAGTTCTGCTTTTGCAGTTTAAGAACAAGGGAAAATAAAAGCAGAAAATAGATAAAACTACGGTCACCTTATGTGCTATCTTTTTATTATTAGTCAGTGACACGTGTCACAACATTATTAGCGCGTGACAATACATATGCTTTGAAAATCTGGTGAAGAAAAAAGTGGTGTGTCTTTGACACACTCGACAAACGTTGGGTGTGTAAAAGGTTACCCGTGGTAGAGAGATGTGTAACAGAGATTTGAATGCAAGGTCGATGGGTAAACTATGTATTTTTACCTAAATTATACATTCGCCTATTTTTTTTAGTTTAAGAAATTGAGTGGGTTGTTATTTAGCTTAATTCTTTCTTTAAACTTTTTATCATAACCCAAGACGTGCAAGTGTTTTGATCTTGAAGAAGCCATCTTTTTCTCTTTGCATGTCCTTAACATCTTCATATATAAAAACGTTCCTACCATCAAAAACACAGTAGAATCGCGCAACATATGCCCGCTGATGTGCTTCCTGCTCACAAGCAAAGAAAATATGCCCGCTGGAAAATGGCATATTTTATCTTCATATTTTCAGAGCGGCCCAGGTTTGGTTCGTGACGAGGTCGAGACAGCCATGGACGAGATTTCAAGGCAGTAGGTCAGTGTTCTTGTTCGTGGAAGGGACTGTCTTGGCTTAGAAATTCAGAAAAGGCAAGGAAGGCAGTGATGCAGAAATTTCGAGTTTGTGGGTGCCAAAAATCAGTGTGGGTTCTTTCAAATCAGTCAGTTGGCGTACTGGATTTGCTAGGGGAACGACGGGCAAGAAATGCAATGAGAAAACAAAAACGTTGCACTTGAGGGCAAGGACAACGTAATTCTTTTGGGGTGCTGAACTTGTGATGTCTTTGCAAATGGCAGCACGTGTGGGGATCTATTAGACGAGGGCGTCGAATTCAACTGGTTGGGGTGGTTTGTTAGACCCTTGACAAAGCTGATCGGCAAGCGGCACGGCAGTGGCGGACAGAAAATGCCCGCTCTGAAAAACGTTCATATTATCTATATAATGAACAAAATGAACAAAAAATTTCATGTGCCTGTCCCATTTCTGGAAAATGTTCAATATACAGGACAGCCTACTAGAAGCTGCAAGCTCTTTCATGTAGCTGCGAAAATCATTTACAAGCATACTTATAACTTGGTGACAAACCTTCTAAAAACATTGTCCAGTTTCTAAACACAAGCTTTTTATACAAGTTCTCTCCTTATTCTTCAAAATCACATTCGTTTTGCTCCGACAATAGCACTGCTTCTAGTTCCTTACCGAAGTCTTCATTGCCATCCTGCTCTTCAGCCACTTCTTGCTGGGAGAACTTTTCCTGCTTTTCCTTTACAATGTCAAGCGAGTCTTTGACAGGCTGATAACCAATTTGTTGATAGAATAATTCCTTCTGAGCTTTCCAGTCCTCAGCAGTCTTCTCAACTACATCCCCTATCAATGTCTGCTTCTCTGTTATGTGCTTTATATTTTCTACATCCACCATGTCTCTAGCCGCTTCAAGAAAAAAGAAAAAGCAAGTGAAAAGATGTCCTCCTCGACTTTAAAATGAAAGTAAAAATCTTGGATGCAAAAGAGCCTTATGAGATTTAGTGCGCGCCTAATTGCCTGAGAATCTAGAGAACTAAACTCATTTGCAACTTCCTATATACATTCTGAACAAACGGAATGCAATAGTTTGTGAACTAATTGGTAGCTTTACTGAAGTTATTGTCAACATATTCACAATAACTTCAGTATGTACTGAATATACAATTTAGACCATAAATGTTTTTATTTATTACTTGACATTGGATATTGACTTTAGTAACGGAATACTTCTAAGATGGAAGAAAATTTAACCAGTATTATTCAGACTTGGATAATCCTTTCGAAACAATACAAAATGTGCCTTACTTAACACATCAATATTGCTGACAACAAATAAAAAATGACCAAAATATGTTTTCCGTTAAAAGCTTAAGAAGCTCATTGAGGTTACCTCTAATAGCAAGTTCCTTGGCCCTAGCATATTCTGCTGACTTTTGCTTGAGCAAATCGACCTCAAGCTCCACGCCCTGGAATAAATGAGAATACGAATTCAGCACTCTGAAGTCAAAGAAAGAGACATGCAATAGCAGGTTAAGTGACGAGAGACCTAATGAAAGCAATTGCATCACTATAGCAGCCTCCCAAAAAGCTAACTCATCCACTTTTTAGTGACAAGTAACAAGCTAATTTGCTTATACTGATCAACTCAAATCAAAAAACTCCCGATCAATACAAATAATGGATCATATGTTCAAATGATCCTCTAACAAGATATCTGATTTTTGTGATTAAAGTTTAAAAAGAAACCTCTTTATTGTTTTCCTCTCACAAACAGGCAACTTGAGATTAGTCCATTCCTTTTGTAGTACTTCATTTCACTTGCCCTTTTAACTATCACACCGCTACGGTAAAAACTAAGCATCCACTCCAAGAAAAAGAATCATAAAAGAGCAATCTTATGCTATTCTTAAAATACTTGCTAAATTACATAATCACAAACACAGACCCACACAAAAACAGAGAAAGAATATGAATTTTTTTGGATAGAAGAAATCCAACCAATTTAATGAAAGAAGTTTTACAGTCAATTGGTCCAAAATTACTAAAATCCTACTTATAATTTTTATTTTTGATGATGTTGCACCTGACAATTTCCTTGCAAAATCAGTAAAGTACAGGTCTACTCAAAATTTCTATCAAAATGGTGGCTGAGTTCAACAAATCCATATATATAGCTACATCAATCCATATGACACTGTAGGCAAAAGCACACAGCTGGAAGCATATTCTAGAATGGAAAATTGATAGAGCCCTTCTCTTTGACTTTAAAAAACAGTCTTACAAACATACCATATCCATGTGGGTGAAGTGCTCGATCCGGGTATTTGCAAATAACCTACGTCATTCAAGGAAACAAGGTGAGCAAATGTATAGAGAAGGCTGTGAAATATAACAAACAGTTGCCAGAAAAGTATCAGTAACATACTTTTTGGATGCTATACGGATACTTGCATTTTGTATTTCCATCAGTTCATCTAATCTCTCAGCTACAGAGCCTTCATTCACATCCACAGACCCAAAAAGAAACATGTTCCTGTCTAACGTACGTTTGACTAAAGCAGGGGCTACTTTAACACCTTTAGCCTTTGCCTCTGCGACAATGTTCCGAAGATTCTTCAGGTCTCCTACCAAATGGAATAAAAAGAATTATCGTCAAACTACAAAGCATCAAAAGCTACCGACAGTTGCACAGTAAACTAAAGTGGCAATTAAACACTTGCCAAATTTTGTAAATAAACACTAGCCAAAGTAAGAGTTTCAAAGTCCAAATATTAATTTAAGAAATCCCCAAATAACACAAGAAGGTCTTTCGGAGGGACATTTCTTCTCTGATTGGCACTGCTAGATTAGAAGAACTACATCGGATATGCACCCACAAAAATACAAATTTTTATATCCTAAGAGATCTACAACTAAAGGAATATGAATAGAATGTCATACTTCATTTAAACAAGGGTGATGCTATGCTACATATAAGGAACAATAAATTATGGTGAACCAGTTCTAGAAGTGCCAAGGAACTTATATTGAACTTGCAATTTATAGTTGAAAACATATACTGTTGAATGGGTTATTTTTGAAAGTGAAAATGAGGACGCAATGGCTTTCCCTGAATTTAGTATTGTCAAAAGGTAGTTTGAGAAATGATAGAGAGAAGGAGATCATTTGGCATCAAAGGAAGATTTAATTGGAAGTCCTGTTGATTTTGGACAAATGAAACACAACCTGTTTTTCAAATGAAATTAAAACTGCCATTTAAGAACTATTTAGCAAAATGATAGTATGAGCTGTTATTGTGATTGGTATCTTAGTAGCATCAATGTATTCCTCACCTATATTTTAAACTTTTTTACCAATTATTCAAGAATTCCTTGACTTCTTATTCTTCATCTATTATTATGAATTGATGAGAAAACTGAATAGAGTGATGACCCACCTGTGGTTCCAATTAAACAGGTTAATGTCCTCAAAGCTAAACCAAGAAAAGGTTTAACATCAGTCAAAGCAATGACGGTGGACACCTAATAATGGTCCAATTCCATTCACATAACCTACAAAAATATAGAAGCTTGATAGTCCAAATAAATGGTTGGAGAACTCTTCAAAGAACTAAGGTAATCTACTTAAAGAAGAGTAAACTATGAATTAACATCCTCACTAGAGCTATTCATTTAACCAATGATCTAAGCAAAATACATATACATGTTACTTCATAATTCATCTGATTTAAAGCATTAATCTTGTGTTATAGTTTTGATAACACTTTCTGAAACAGAAATCTAGGAAGTATCCATGATGTTATATGCTTCAGAAAGCGCAATCACAAAGCAAGAAATTTGCAACTCAATCAGTGAAGCGACTTATTCAGGTTTGAATCTAATGTTGTTTGTTAAGATTCGATTGTAATGTTTTAATTGTCTCATCTCATAAGACCAAAACTGCACCATCGATTGTAATGTTTTAATTGTCTCATCTCATAAGACCAAAACTGCACCATCGATTGTAATGTTTTAATTGTCTCATCTCATAAGACCAAAACTGCACCATCGATTGTAATGTTTTAATTGTCTCATCTCATAAGACCAAAACTGCACCATCGAGAGAGAATCATCGCATGAGCAGCACAATTTCATGACATATCGTGTTAAAAAGGTTGTATATATACCTAGAGAAATATAAATCTTGAAAGGAGGCTTGAATGGTTGTGTCTCATAAAGGCAATACAGACAATATAACCCACCCAGTCTACTCAAAAGAGAATGAGTAGACACCATGTAACCTGCAAAGCATTCAATTTGGTTAATCTAAAGCAGGAAATATCAGCCACGGGGAAAGGTGAAAATCTTACACTAGTACGACAGCTCTCTCATCAAAATTTAAGAGAAATATAAACATCAGAAAGAGAATTTAAGGATGCACTCACATTCACTACTTTAGTGATATCTCTCCAAATACTAAAATCACTTTATAAGGCTTTTTTCTTTGTGGTGTCAGAGCCATGATACTACACCTTTTACTGTGCTACTTCAGTTTTGTTGAATAAAAGACATATTAAAAATCTACTGCTACTTCAGTGATATAACATTTTTCAGCATTCTCTTCTTTTTTTTATGATAAGTAACATTTCTCAACATTCCTATAGTTCCATGCACCTCACCATGGTTAAATTTCACATTAAAGGTAGATATTTTTTATATATAAGAGTGTGTGTGTGTGTGTATGCCACAATAATCAGAATCATTCTCTCTGGATGAAGCTAAAATATGCTATATTAGGAAAACGAACAAAAAGTAAAATAGAAAACATTAGACATACCACTACAGTAGGCAAAAAGTGATTGCATAAAGCATGCCCGATTTTCAGAGGGACTGGCCTTGAAAATATAGGAGAACTTTTTAGAAACCCACACTCTCTTCATTTCTGCAAAATTAGGAGATCCACCCTACAAATCGCCATATTACCGGTCAGAAGAATTATGAAAAGTGCAAGATAAATAAACAGAGATTAGTATCTACACTACACTTAAATTGAAGGGGAAAAAAGGCATACTAGTACCTTGGCAAACTCATTTATAAGCTCATCAATGTCTAATTTGAATGGTTTGAGGTCCATGTTAAAGTTGACTTGTCTTTATGGCCTACAAGAAAACTTCTTGATTAAGCTGGTGCAAAGAAGATAAGCAACTATAAATTCAATATCACTACAGTCGTAAAAGATAAGCAACTTGTGGCTAATTATTTGTTAAATACAATGGTTGGTTCAAATCAATAAGAACATCATCATGTAACTTAGCAACAAAACATTCAACTACAGTCCTAAAAGTTTAAATATTAAAAGGTTTATCACACAGAACATACAAATTTATAAGTTGTAAATAACTGAAATGCGTAAATAGGAAAAGTCGAAGCAGGTGACCTCTTCATGACGTCAAAATGCAAAATAAAACCCATGAAAAAGAAGGATAATAAAATGGAGTGGTACTAGATGCACGTTGCATCCATCCTCTAATCTATCACATTAATTATATATAAAAAAAATTGTCGCACTTTCAAAGTGAAGAAATCGATCAACACATCAGAAAGTACTATTACATGGTCTTAAATCCAAAATTATAAAAATGACACACTCGATAAAGATATCTAATTTTTTATAATAAACTATAATAATGGATCCTAGGAACGGGTACAACAATAACAACCCAGTGTGATTCCACGAGTGGGGTCTGGGGAGGGTAGGATGTACGCAGCCTTACTCCTACCCGGTAAGGCAGAGAGACTGTTTCGATAGACACTCGGCTAAAGAAGATGGAAAAAGCGGTCATAGCATGACAATACATTTAGAAAACTAAATCGAAGATGGCAATAAAGAATATGAAAGAAGTACCGATAGCAAGTAATAGCAAGACAATATATTTAGAGAACTAAATCCGAGGGTCTGATAACAATAGAGAAAATGAATAGAGTATTGATATCAAACTAAGGAAGTTAATAACAGAACAAAATATACGATAATAGCAAACTCAGGATAAAAGGGGTACCATACTAACACCAATCCTATCGATCTAATGAAGACAAAGGGAACACACGACTACCTACTAACCTTCTACCTTAATACTCAACCTTCATACTCTCCTATCCAGGGTCATGTCCTCAATTAGCTCAAGTTGCGCTATGTCTCGCCTGATCACCTCTCCCCAAGACTTCTTTGGCCTACTTTTACCCTTCATTTTACCCCCCAAGTCCAACCTCTCACACCTCCTGACTGGGGAATCTGTGCTTCTCCTCTTAACATGCTCGAACCATCTCAGCCTCGCCTCTCTCATCTTTTCCTCCGCAGGGGCCACTCTCACCTTGTCCAGAATAACTTCATTCCTAATTTTATCTAACCTAGTATGCCCACACATCCATCTCAACATCCTTATTTCAGCTACTTTCATCTATTTGACGGAGTTTTTGACTGGCCAGCACTCTGCCCCATACAACATAGTCGGTCTAACCACTACCTTGTAGAACTTTACCCTTAAGTCTCAACGGCACATTCTTATCGCACAAGACACCGGAAGCGAGCCTCCACTTCATCCACCCTGCTCTGATACGATGTGCGACATCCTCATCAATCTCCCCATCATTCTGAATTATAGACCCCAGATACTTGAAACTCTTTCTCCTGGGATGACTTGCGCATCAAGCCTAACATCCCCGTACGCTTCCTGGGTAACACCGCTGAACTTGCACTCCGAGTATTCTATTTTGGTTCTGCTCAACTTGAAACCCTTAGACTCAAGGGTATGTCTCCAGACCTCCAGCCTCTCGTTAACACCACCTCGCGTTTCATCAATCAGGACTATGTCATCTGCAAAAATAATATGAACCAAGGCACCTCCCCTTGAATGTGTCACGTCAATGCGTCCATTGCCAAGGAAAACAAAAATGGGCTAAGTGATGCTCCCTGATGCAGCCCCATCTCAATCGGGAAGTACTTAGAGCCTCCTCCTGCTGTCCTAACCCGTGTCTTAGCTCCATCATACATGTCCTGCATCACTCTAATATACGCTACAGGCACTTTTTAAGCCTCCAAACAACTCCATAGGACCTCTCTTGAGACTTTGTCATAAGCTTTCACTAGGTCAGTGAACACCACATGCAAATCTTTCTTCCACCAATCTCCTCACAATGTGGATGACTTCAGTAGTCGACCGTCCCGGCATGATACCAAACTGGTTCTCAAAAATGGACACACTCCTCCTCGTCTTTCCTTCAATCACCCTCTCCCAAACTTTCATCGTATGGTTTAACAACTTGATACCCCTACAGTTGTTGCAGTTTTGGATATCCCCCTTGTTCTTGTACAATGGAATCATCATACTCCACCTCCACTCTTCAAGCATCTTCTTCATCCTAAAAATGACATTAAACAACCTAGAGAGTCATTCCAAGCCCGCCTTACCCACGCTCTTCCAGAATTCCACAGGAATCTTGTTTGGCCCGATCGCTCTACCCCTACTCATAGCCCCTTCAACCTCCCCCACTCGTATGCGCCTATAGTACCCAAAATCACGATGACGCTCCGAGTAATCCAACTCATCCAGCACAATGCTATGAACGGGTACCAATATTCAATATATATTTACAAAGTAATGAATTACTTAAACATAGCATATGAATATAAACATTACCATTATAATTGTACTCGATGACTTGTCATTTCTTTTTTATAATCGTGGTGTCCAAGCCAGCTTGCGCGCACCTCGACAAATTCTATGGGATACCTGCCACATCCCACCAGCAACAGGTACCAGGTAACTCTATCCACCAAGGCTTGGATAGATGGGAAGATATCACCTAGTATTTTTTGCCTCCAATGGTATTTGAACCTGAGACCTCATGGTTCTCATCCACTTCATTGATCACTAGGCCACACCCTTGGATGCGACTTGTCATATTTTGAATTAGGTACACTTTAAAAAACTTCATCCTCCATACAACAAACTAAAAAGATTAAAAGATTCTTCACCAATTTTGCTTCAAAAGTTACTTTTAGTGTATTTCGCTTAAGAAGAGTTATTCCCATCGTCGAATTAACGACAACTAATAACAAAGTTAACTTCAGAAGCTAATAAACAAGTCTTCAAGTCTTGTGCAGATGTGTCTCAAGATTTAAGAGCTCCATAATTTCAACAATTTTACCCTCTGGCGTAGGGAAGGCAGTGGGAAGGGCACGGGCGGGTTGGGACTTAACCCGCAAAAATTTCAACCCGCCACACATAGCATTTTTTTGTGATTTTCACCCGCAGCGCTTCGACCAGCATAAACCCTCCTCACCCGGCATGAATATTTTTGTTCTTCCTATCTACTTTGTTATCTAATATGAATAAATTCAAAAATTCTAAATAAGTTTCAAAAGAATATTTTCAGGTAATAAATTATGAATTTTTACATATGGCGATTGGTGCTATAATTATACTGTAACTAATTTAGTATGCATAATTTAAATGTGTTACGATCTTAGGAGCAAATAGTATTCATCTGCATTTGTGGGCTTGAGATCATAATGTTAGTGTAGTCATATCGACTTAATTATCTATCCAGTAATTTTTCTTAGGATTGGAATAAAAGCATATACCCGAAAACTAAAGGAAAAAAAAGTCACTAAAATTCTAACATAACGTTAGCTTCCAGTATTTTGAAACAAAACCAACAAAGATGTCAAGAAGAAATTTATAATTCAATATGAATTTTTATAATCCAGAGGCCATCTATTTTTAACAAAAAGTAGAATAGATCGTAATAGTCATCATATCATATATTCTTACATTAATTTTTTTTTACTGTTTATAGATATCATATGATTTCACCTAACTTCTCAATCTAATCTATCCTAAGACCGTCTAAATGCCTGAGATAAAAACATTAATGAACTAGATGTCTATATCTAATAAAGAAACAAACATCAGGGTGTAAATTAGAACGTGAAAACAAAATGCTAACTAACCATAAAAAAAAGGAATGAAGAAGTTAGGTATGAAGCAATGGCAGAAGAATAAGACCCTGAAGAGACAGCGCAAGGAGGGAGGAAGAGGTATTAAAACGCCAGTGGCGGAGGCAGGATTTTTGCCAAGGGATTCAAAAAATTAAAAAACTAAACACGCAAAGAAGCCAACCGTAACAAAAAAATTTAGATGGTAACAGATTTTATTAATAGAAAGATAAGTTCTCAACAAAAATACAGTGCTGAGATAACCAAACCATAGTTACAAGACTTCCAAAAGAGAAAAAACAAAAAAACAAGTCTTGTGTTAGTTACAAGGACGCAATGAGATCAACTATCTTATAATCTTGAAGAAGAATAAACAGAAAAAGTAATTAACTTTATTTGGATATTTAACAAGTTAGCCATTGAATACATTGGCACTAGGTAGAGCGCAATTCTAAAGCACTTATCTATCTCAATTACTCGAACTCAAGGCCAGAATAGCCAAATAGTCTATAATTTTCAGTTTCACTAGGCAATAATATGATTCATACTTTTTGTTGTCAAAAAAAATGTAAAAGTATCTATTTTTCATGAACAAAGTTTAAAACCAGCAAAGCCCAAGCCAACTGTATAACAAACACACATCCCATCTCTTTCAAGCTCCAACTCCAAATTCATCAATATCTACGAAAATCCCAATGCTTACTGTAATTCCAAGCAACTCATTTAACAAAATTCCTAAACCATAAAATAAGAAAAATAAAAAAATACAGAAAGAAGGGAACTTACTGGGGAAGCCACGACCGAAGAGGCGACCGGTGACTGACAAGGTGAGGATGAGAAGACGAGCAGCAAGCAGCGGCAAAAGGCAAAAACCAGTGCTCGGCGAATTTTTCAGTTTGAGAGTTTATTTATATCTTTTGATTTTGAAATTAGGGATTTAATACAAATAAAATAGGGATGCATTCGGTTTTCGGTTTGAATTATATTTTCTGTTTTCCGATTTTAAAATAGTACAATCCAATCCAAATTTTAATATTTTTTGGTTTTTAGTTGGATTTTTATTTGGTTACGTCATATAAAATAATTTTTATAATAAAATAGTTATATTCCATGGCAAAAAAATAAATATTTCAGAGAATAAGAAGTAATAATATTAAATCTCTTAAATATTATTTTTTGATATTAGTCACGGGTAAAACTTTTAAAACACAATATTTAAAAGTAATATGATCAGACATAAGAATTCAAAATATAAGTCATAATTCAAGCTCAATGAGATCAATTATTTGCTTGCAAATATTAAAATACGAAGAAATTAGTGAAATATTCATGAAAGCTTCACAATCAAAATATTACTACTTACTTAATAAAGAAGAGGAATAAATGGATTGAATTATACTTAGCCGACATTGAACCTATGATCCTCGAATGAAATTGAACCCCGTTGACCACTAAGCTAATTTTTAACTTGTGCCTTATGGGTTTAACATATTATATATTATATATTAAAAACCGTTATACAATATAATTTTCCGACAAAGGAGAGTTCATCTGCCCCTACCCGCACAACACCCGCATAGTTTGGAAAAAACTGGAGTGCCAACCCACCTCATCTCGGAAAGCCTTAGACCCCCACAGCCCCCCCTCCCCATTGTCATCCCTAAGAATCAAGAATTAATACTTTGCATAGATTTATATTTATCTAACATTGATCTAGCATAAGAATATATGCTAGCTTGGCAGTCTTCAAGAGATGGTTGTTCATTTTCTTGAATTGCTAAATTCCCACAAATTTTACGAACAAGTCTCTTTGCACCTCTTAGTTTCAAAGATGTGTTAAGTAGAGTAAAAATTAAATAAACTTCGGGAATAGGGGAAAAAAACTTTTTAAATTTTGAAATCATTTCATTAATTGGCGGTGCATAGGTTGGATTTGTTTTATACTTACCAAATACAATAGAAATTCCACAAATATACNCGCAGGACGGAACCGGGACGGGACGGAACGGGACGTGGGACGGAACCGGGACGGGACGGGACGGCCCGTCCCATAGGACGGCCTTAAGAAAAGCACTTCTCAAAATAAGCTGATTTTAGAAGTTTGGCCAAACAGACTATTATTTTGGTTCGCCCCCTTTTTAAAAAAAATATATATATTTATCTTAATCACAAGTCTAGAATATGTGAATATGACCAGCTCTTTTCGAGAAATCACCACGTGGTGTAACGTGATTTGTTGTATGACATTCACTCTTGAGCTGCATTTACACCAAATTAGGGATGCCAACGGGGAAGGGGGGTTGTGGGGGTCTTAAGGCTTTCCAAGGTGAGGTGGGTTGGCATTCCACTTCTTTCCAAACTATGCGGCTGTGGTGCGGGTAGGGGTAGATGAACCCTCCTTTGTCGGAAAATTATATTGTGTATATATATATTAAACCCATCAAACACAAGTTAAAAATTAGCTTAGTGGTCAATGAGGTTCAATTTCGTTGAAGTATCATAGGTTCAATGACAACTAAGCATAATTCAATCCCTTATTCCTCTTCTTTATTAAGTAATATTTTGATTGTGAAGCTTTCATAAATATTTCACTATTTCTTCATATTTTAATATTTGCAAACAAAGAATTGATCTCATTTGAACTTGAATTATGATTTAAATTTTGAATTCATATGTCTGATCATATTACTTCTAAATATTTTATTTTAAAAGTTTTACCCGTGATTAAAATTAAAAATAATATTTAAGAGATTTAATATTATTACTTCTTATTCTCTGAAATATTTATTTTTTTGCCATGGAATATAACTATTTTATTATAATAATTATTTTATATGACGTAACCAAATAAAAACCCAACCAACAATCGGAAAATATTAAAATTTGGATTGTATTGTACTATTTTAAAACCGAAAATATAAAATCAAGCCGAAACTTGAATGCATCCCTATTTTGTTTGTATTAAATCCCTAATTTCAAAATCAAAAATATAAAAAAACTCTCAAACTGAAAAATTCGTTGAGCGCTAGTTCTTGCCTCTTGCCGCTGCTTGCTACTCGTCTTCTCATCCTCACCTTGTCAGTCGTTGGTCGCCTCTTCGGTCGTAGCTTCCCCGATAAGTTTCCTTCTCTCTGTTTTTTTTAGGGTTTAGGAATTTTGTTAAATGAGTTGCTTGGAATCAAGCATTGGGATTTTCGTAGATATTGATGAATTTGAAGTTGGAGCTTAAAAGAAATGGGATGAGTGTTTGTTATACAATTGGGTGGGGCTTTGCAGGTTTTAAACTTTGTTCATGAAAAATAGATACTTCTACATTTTTTTTGCCAACAACAACAACCCAGTATTAGTATAATCACACTTAGTGGGGTTTGGGAAGCGTAGTGTGTACGCAGACCTTGCCCACCCGGTGGTAGAGATGATGTTTCCAAATAGACCCTCGGCATTCTTCCCTCCCAGAATTTCCCACCTTGCTCTTGGGGAGACTCAAACTCACAACCTCTTGGTTGGAAGTGGAGACTACTTACCATCACAGCAACCACTCTTGTTAACAAAAGGTATCAATCATATTATTGCCCAGTGAAACTGAAAATTATAGACTATTTGGCTATCCTGGCCTTGAGTTCAAGAAATTGAGATAGATAAGTGCTTTAGAATTGCCCTCTACCAAGTGCCAATGTATTCAATGGCTAACTTGTTAAACATCCAAATATATATAACGTTAATTACTTTTTCTGTTTATTTTTCTTCAAGATTATAAGATAGTTGATCCCATTGCGTCCTTGTAACTAACACAAGACTTGTTTTTTTTGTTTTTACCTCTTTCAAAAGTCTTGTAACTATGGTCTGGTTATCTTAGCACTATCTTTTTGTTGAAAACCTATCTTTCTATTAGTAAAATCGGTTACCATCTAAATGTTTTTGTTCTAGTTGGCTTATTTACTTGTTCAGTTCTTAAATTTTTTGAATCCCTTAGAAAAAATCCTTCCTCCGCCACTGGCGTTTTAATGCCTCCTCCTCCCTCCTTGCACTGTCTCTTCTGGGTCTTATTCTTCAGTTAATGTTATTTCAGTTAATATTAGGCTTACCTAGTTTAGAGACTAGGTGCCATCACGACTCCTTTAGAGGGATTTTTGGGTCGTGATAGGTGGGGCGAGACGGGACGGGTTGAAATTTTTACAGGTTAAGTCTAGCCCCGCACTCTCCCACCGCGCCCGACTGCCATCCCTATACAAGAGGTTAAAGTTGTTGAAATTATGGAGTTCTTAAATCTTGAAACACATCTGCACAAGACTTGAAAACTCGTTTATTTGCTTCTGAAGTTAAGTTTATTATTACATGTCGTTAACAGTGGGAAGAGCTTTTTCTTCAATGGAATAGACTAAAATTAACTTGTGAAGCAAAATTGGTGAAGAATTTTTGATATTCTTTAGTCTGTTATATGGAGGATGAAGTTTTTGAAGTGTACCTAATTCAAAATATGACAAGTCACCGAGTACAATTATAACGGTAATAGAATGAATCATATTTAGCAATCAAATAAATCAACAGTCGTTTATATCTGTAATTTGTAACTTTTAACCACGTAAATAAATAAGCAAAATGGTGTTCACTTGAACACAAGATTGACTTCAGTTCTGTTGAGCAAAAGACAAATAATACAGATCTACTGCTACCTCAGTGTTATAAAGCTTTTCAACATTTTTTTGGGCGTGGGGGTGTAGGTGACATTTCTCAATATTCCTATCGTTCCATGCACCTCACCATGGTTGCCTTTCACATTAAACGTAGAAAGTTTTTCATATATAAGTGTGTGTATACCACAATAATCACAATCATTCTCTCCGGATGAAGCTAAAATATGTTAAAATAGGAAAACTAACAAAAAAGTAAAATAGAGAACATTTAGACATACCACTGCAGTAGGCATAGAGTGATTGCATAAAGCATGCCTGATCTTTAGAGGGACTCGCCTCAAAAATATAGGAGAACTTTTTAGAGACCCACACTCTCTTCATTTCTGCAAAACTAGGAGATCCACCCTATAAAACATCATATTACTGGTATGAACCATTATGAAAAGTGCAAGTTAAATGAATAGCATTCATTTTATTTTGGTAATGATGATGACGAGTTGAGCTAAATGAAAGGAATGAGGATTCATATAGCCGACCCCAGCTTGCTTGGGACTGAGGCGTAATTGTTGTTGCAAGATAAATGAATAGATCGAAACTATGCTTAGATTGAAGGGGGAAAACAGGCATATTAGTACCTTGGCAAACTAATTTATAAGCTAATCAATGTCTAATTTGAACGGTTTAAGGTCCATATTGTTAAAGTGGACTTCTCTTTATGGCCTACAAGTAGAACATTTCTTGATTAAGTTAGTGCAAAGAACATAGGCTACTATAAATTCAATATCACTACAATTAGAAGAGAAGACCATCAAGAACATACAATAATAACCAACAAACCGCTTTTTTGCTACGACTGAGGGGTTGCATTGGTAAAGTAAATAATGATACCATATTTGCGGTTCATATAAGAATAGCCTAATAATAAGATTTTCTCATAGAATACATATCTTATTTAAACATATTTGTTGCTATTATTTGTTAAATACAACGGTTGGTTCAAATCATGAACTATTCAGTATTAGCAACAAAACAGTCAACTAAAATCTCAAAAGTTTACATATCAAAAGTCTATCACATATCATTTACAATTTTATAAGTTGTAAATAACTGAAATGCATAAATAGGAAAAATTATAGCAGATGCCTTTACACAATATCAAAATGCAAAATAAAACGCATAGAAAAGAAGGATAACACAAGGGAGTGGTACTAGAAGCACATTGTATCCATCCACTAATCTATCACAGTAATTATATATAAAAAACAATTGTCGCACTTTCAAATTGAAGAAACTGATCAACAGATCAAATTCGAACCTCTATGCCGTAAATTGTCTAAGTACTATTACATGGACACAATCCCAAATTACAAAGACCAGAAATGACTCACTGATAAAGATATCTAATTTTCATAATAAAAAACATTAATAACCAAACCAAGGAACGGGTACAATATTCAGTATATATTTACAAACCACTTAAACACAACATATGAATAAAAATATTACCGTTATAATTGTACTCGATGACTTGTCATATTTTGAATTAGGTACACTTCAAAAACTTCATCCTCCATGTAACAAACTAAAGAATATCAAAAATTCTTCACCAATTTTGCTTCACAAGTTAATTTTAGTGTATTCCATTGAAGAAAAAGCTCTTCCCACTGTTAACGACATGTAATAATAAACTTAACTTCAGAAACAAATAAACGAGTTTTCAAGTCTTGTGCAGATGTGTTTCAAGATTTAAGAGATCCATAATTTCAACAATTTTAACCTCTTGTGTAGGTATGGCAGTCGGGAGCGGTGGGAGAGTGCGGGGCTAGACTTAACCTGTAAAAATTTCAACTCGTCCCGTCTCGCCCCACCATAGCATTTTTATGTGATTTTAACCCGCCACACTTCGACCTGCATAAACCCGCCCTGCCCTCCAAAAAAAATTCTTCCTATTTTCTACTTTGCTATCCATAAAGGGCAACCCGCGTTCACGCAGGGGCGAAGTGGTCGAAGTGGTCGAAGTGTGTTTCAACATTTAAGAGATCCATAATTTCAACAATTTTAACCTCGTGTAGGGATGGCAGTCGGGAGCGATGGGAGAGTGCGGGGCTAGACTTAACCTGTAAAAATTTCAAACCGTCCCGTCTCGCCCCACCGTAGCATTTTTATGTGATTTTAACTCGCCACACTTCGACCTGCATAAACCCGCCCTGCCCTCCAAAAAAAATCCTTACTATTTTCTACTTTGTTATCCATAAAGGGCAACCCGCGTTCACGCAGGGTCCAGGGAAGGGTCACATACCAAAGAGCGTATATTGACAACCTACCCTAATGCAAGCATTAAAGACTGCTTTCAAGGCGAACCCATGGCCTATAGGTTGTCACACCTCCTTTTTTCCTACACCCCGTAAAGGGTGTAATAAAGGGAGTTTTTCCAATTAAATGACAATCGAAACGGGATTATTTTATTAAGAGATTCAGATCCCGTATCAAGGAAAGGGTTGACTTTGTATTACAGTCCGTGAACCAGAAATCCAGGTAAGGAATTCTGTTAACCCGGGAGAAGGTATTAGGCATTCCCGAGTTCTATGATTCTAGCACGGTCGCTCAACTGTCATAAATGGCCTAATTATCTGATTCTAAACATGTTCTAACCTATGGTGCAATTTTAACTTTATAGCCGCTTTTATTTAATTATTTTTAGGAAGGATTCAACGTCATCTAAAACACGTCTTGAACCACGTCACATAAATGCACTCGCGGTCCACGACACATTTTATCTAACGTTGTTGAGATTTGGATTTGGGTCACATAAATGCACACTCGAGTTTAGGAAAGTAATTTTTACAAATAACGCGCCTGAAGCAACTACGCGCTGTCAACTTTGCGAGGGCCATGGAAAATTCAACTAAATGGCACGCCTCGATTTCTAATAGTCATGCCCATGTTTATTTTTATTCTTATTAGGCCGAGCCTGATATCTAAAGCATGCAATTTAATTTGATAATAGTGGGTTCAATCCTTCACATTGAACCGGATTACTATGGGACTTAAAACACATGGGCCCAACAAACAACCAAAATAAAGCTAAATAATCGAAAATGAAAATGGTAGATCAAAATAGGATAAGAGCCGTCAATATAAGGAACATATAGCAAAATGGAAATTCACAGTACAACCTTCATGCGGAAGAGAACCAGCTGAACGAAACATATTTCCAAAATTCATCCAACAAAGATGCCTTCAATTGAGATTTAAAATAGAAAAGCCCCTCTCCAAGTTTCTGCTTCTACACTTTATTGTTGTTTAAGAATAAATTAACAAGGAAATAGGCAGAATACACAAAATTTGAATCCACAGTTTCCAAAACCAATGAGCTAATTGAATATACAAGACCATATCAATACATCCACATTTACTCTAGCGTGACATAAATTAGTACAAGTTGAAGTGCAAAATGAAGATCCAAATTTGACAACTAAAAGAAAACAAACCTTAGTTAACCTTGACTCACCGACTACGACCTCGAGCGGACAACCTCGACAAATCGACGACCAAATCGACTCAGATCAGGCGCGATTTTGACCGGAGAACCTCGATAACAAACTCGACGATAACCGCGCTTCCGAACACTCCACTGACCAACACTAATAGAGAATAAATCCAAGCTGAAAATCCGAAGGAATTAAACTCCAAATTAAGGGAATAAAAAACTGAAAATTAGTGGGTTCAATTTCGCTACTGTTTTCTCCTATGTTCCTCTCTTGGTTTCGCTACTGTTTCCTCCGGTTCAACTTTTCCGTTTTTGTTTCAGTTCAGGCAAGGTTAGCGGCTGGTGAGAGGTTGATTTCCGGCGAGTTTGGGTTGCTGAAGATTCAAAAATGGCTGAAGCTTGTGAGGTCTTAGTCTAGGTCTGGAGAAGATGAAGGTCGGGGGGTGGGGAGTCGTTGGTTTCAGGGGTGAACAGCGGGTTTGGGTGAGGGATTTTTGGTTTGGTTGTTGAAGAAGATCGATGGGGAGGGTCCTTTGGAGAAGATGACGCGGGGGAGGGGGGGGGTCACCAGGGAGATGAAATTAGAGAGGGGTCTCCTCTTTTGCACTGTTGCGGCTCATCCCCTCTAGGTGTCCTATAGGTCTTGTTATATTATTATTAGGTTAATTAAGAAGAATAGGGGTTTGGGTGTTGGGTCGGGTCGGACCGACCCGGTTTGGCTGGGTAAAGAGAAAACTTTGGGCTTTTAAAGTGTTTGGCCCAATCGAATTTAAACAACCAGCCTTTTTTCAATTTCCATTTGTTTTGTTTTGTTTTCTTTCTTTAATTAATTAAAACCTAAATTAATTCAAATTGTAAAATTAAACTAATTATCTAACTATAATGTTTATAAAAATTAGTTGATCCTAAAAGTTAAAGAGAAAACTTAATAATCCAAAATTAAAAGCTAAGAGTGTAAAAATGAGCCATTTTTGCGATTTTTCATTTTTAATAAAGCAATTAATTAATTATCTAATCCTAAAATATGAACACCAAATCTAAATGTAATGCATGGTATTTTTTATTTTTAATGAAAATTAAATATGCACAAAAATGCAAATAATTATTAAAATTCTACAAAAGCACAATAAAATTGCACAAATTGGGCGAACTTTATTTCTCTAAATTGTAGGAGTATTTCACATAGGGCAAAAATCACGTGCTCGCAGCTGCCCCTCTTTGCTCGGAAACACGAAGTGTTTTCGGGCAAAAATAAAGTGAGCGGATACGAGCGATTTTTGCCCGTTTGAATACTCTATGGGAAGCATTTTTGAAAGATTTGATCGAACCTTGCTTCAGAGGTTGCCTACATATCCTTGGCTATAAAGTAATCAGATCAGTGTAGTTCAGAAGTGAGTGAGATGATGGAGTATGCTGAGGTGGAGAGCCGGTCGAGGTGTCGTTCCGCCGAGGTTTCGGGTCGCGGTCCTGTTATTACATCAAAAATCAAAACATGAAAAAAACTAGCTAAGCCTGTCAACTATGAGTTACAAGATTCCTATCTATAAGTCTTCTGAAACTTGATCTTAAGTCTTGAGTGGTTCTTCATACAAACTTTAGATTTGAACCTTGACACTTGCTAGTTGCAGGTGTTAGTCCATCCTTCTTCAGCTTTTCGGATCAAAACCAGGTATGCAGTTCCTGTGACCTCGGCCATGTCTTGAGCAGCTCACATCTCTTCTCTACTTCTGCATCTGGATTCACTTCTTGCCTTTTTTTTAAATTCTGGGTTGTGACTAACTTCCGTTGATCATCTCGGACTATTGACTCGCATTCTTGCCACGAGCTTCTTTTGTTGCTGACTTGCATTGTATTTTGAAGTGAATTCCTTTATCTCCAGGTAGGCACCTGATTGCCAATATTCAAATTGTCTTTCTTTGAACCTTGTTGCTTCCCCTTGAAATCTATGTTATCTTCCTTTGAAACTTGAACTGTCTTCCCTTGAAACTTGAACTGTCTTCCTTTGAACATTGCTTTCCCTTGAAACTTGAACTGTCTTCCCTTGTTCTCTAGGTGGGCGCATGATTGCCGAAACTTTTCTATGATCTCTTATTTTTCCATGTGGGTCCCTGCAATCAAAACAAACAAAATTTTCTGCCCCAGTTTGTGTCACACCTCCTTTTTTCACTTACACCCGCAAAGGGCGTAAATGAGTTTTTTCAATTAAAGGACAATCGGAACGGGATTTAATTATTAATTATTCAGAGTCGCCACTTGAGAGAATAATGGTGTCCCAAGTCACCGATTGAATCCCGAACTGAGGAAATTTATGACTTTGTTAACAGTTTGCGCACCAGAAATCCGAGTAAGGAATTCTGTTAATCCGGGAGAAGGTGTTAGGCATTCCCGGGTTCCGTGGTTCTAGCACGGTCGCTTAACTATTGTATTTGATTTTATCTGATTTTAATACATGCTAGCTTATGTGCCTTTTATTCGTAAACCATTTTTTATCATTATTTATTTTAAAAGAATTGCAACGTCGTGAAAACGCGTTTCGAACCACGTCGCAATCAATGCACCCGTGGTTGTCAACACATTTCGACTTCGTCGAGATTTGGATTTGGGTCGCATCAATGCGCACCCGAGTTTAAGAAGGTACTTTAATTAAAATCGCGCCTAAAGATTCTAACGTAATATTATTTTGGGGAAGACCGTGGAGTTCGCTAAATGACCATCCCAAATTCTAAACATTTTAGTAACCAAATATCGACAGCCCAACATACATGATTTTTGTTGGGCGAAGTTCATTTCTAACATTTAAAAAGACCCATTTGAGAGTAACTACAATTTTCTAGTGATCAAATATCCCTAAAAGAAGAAAGGGAACTTAATTATATGTAAACTAAATAAAGTTCAGTAGTCCAACCTCAACAATGGGCTGGACCACTGATGGGCCTCAGAAACGGCCCAAAATTTGGTCATGGCAAACGAAAGGGAAGCCCAGGCGACAGACCTAATCACCTGGGATCAAATCCCTTAAGAAGCCCAAACTCATGAAGGCTGCTCGCGTGACAGCCTGAGATGGCTTATCGTTGAGCCCAGCGAGGCTTTGATTCCAGCTTACCCTGACACCCCTTGAAATTACCTCTAAGCTATTTCAAGTATTCAATAATTAGCATAGGGGAAATAATACACATCTACTTGAATTAGAAGGAAACTAGTCAATTGAATTCCAGTTTTATATACAGGCTAATTCATCCATTGACATTCTGGTGAGTCCTTAGACATCATCAAGGTGAAAACCAAGCTGTAAACACAATCTCAATAACATAAAGCAGACTAGCTATTACTGAATTAATTCACGCCGACATTACTATCAATCTATCATGTAATCAACTAACACTGGTGTTTACTTTATAGTACTCACATGACTCTAAAATATAACAGTTCATACAGTCCATTTGGCACTAAAGCAAGCAAAACTTTAAAACAATATCCATGAATTGAACACTGAATACGTAGATATGGAAATTAGCTAAATCAGAACTCAATTCTGCATGTAAATTCATTCTTCACATAATTCACTTCTGCCTATTTGAGCTCACATTCATCAGGGGTACAATTGTGTACCTGGATAAAGGAAAATATGAGAAGGAAAGGAGTTAGCTACTTTGAACAGCAACAACAACAAACTCAACAATATACACCACAGAACATGCCAGGAACTGCTTTTGAAAACCAGAAATACAAGCAGACTCCACAGATCAATTCAACACACACTTGAAATGCACTCCTAGCCCTCACAGCTGAACCTAAATACCTCTGCAATCCTGATAGACTTAAAACCCAGCTGAAATCCAAAACTAGCAATGAAACTGTAAAATTGTTTTTGATTTCTTCATTTTTTGATGTTTTTATTTTCGAATACTGGAATGGAAATACTAGCTGGAATTGAAAGCATGGAGGAGAGCTTTTGGTAGGAATTTTTGAGCTCAGGGCTGAAGGAAGAAGAAGACCCCTTCCCTAAGGCATTTCATGCCCTTGTATAGGCAACAAGAGAGAGTAGATCATATTTTAGGCCTTCTTTTTTAGTCCCTCCCTTATTTCAGTTCAGTCCCTCTATTCTTGACTTGCTAAACAAGTAAGCACCCCTATTGTGCTAAAATATGCACTAAAATCCTATTCTAGAAGGCCCTAGGGTATTCTTCTACCCATACAATACCTATACTGCCCTTCCATATACTTTGAAATTACTATTCCTATCAGAATTACCCCTTTCCATGCCCAAACTACCCCTGAAGGCTTCTCAAAGTTACTGATTATACCCTCATCCTCAACAGCTATAACCAGTCCCCTAAATTAATCCAAAACTATCTAAGACTGATTAATTAGAACTCAGAAATTAACTAATCAAACTAACCAATCCCAATTGTTCAATTACACCAACTCAATCAAACTAAGAAAAAACCAGAAACCAGGATCGATCAAAGCAAAGCTTAAGCTACATGATCAACATTAAATGAAATTAAACTAATTCTTAACCAATAAACTCACAATCGACCATTCAAATATCAAACTCAGAACTAACAGCAATTGACAGAACTATACTAATACACAAAAATAAACCGTAAAATTAACAGAACACTTAATGAAACCAAGATTGTAACTAAAACTTCAACCATACGAGTAAAAAGAAACAGGAAAACTCACAGAAGCACGAGGAACCCCGGCCAGTCACTGACGTCCGAATCCTTTCATATTTTTGACACGCAACATCTCTAACCAAGTGTTCTTACAAGAGAACACATGGTTAAGGATACTACGGTTCGAAATCATAAAGATTTTGGTTTAGGGTTTTGGCCAGAAATTCTTAGATCTGAGATTCGAGACGTTTCGCAGAGATTTAAAGGAAAATAATCATGGATTAGTGTTGAGGGAAGACCGGGGATTATATGGTGTGACTTTGGACTGGTTTGGATAAACCTGCGATCTGACCAGAAACTTCAATCGAAGATTCGACGAGCTTCGGCAACATTCGAGAAAAACTAATAACGGGAGTGTAAAGAGGGATTCATGGGGGATCTATGGTGTTAATCTGGGTTTGAACGGGGTAAGTGGCGTTCACCGCCGGCAAGGGATTTAGGGGCGGCGCAGATTAGGGTTTGAGAGGATAGGTGGGGTGAGGAAAACGAGGCAAATGGGGTAGGGGGAGTTTTCGGACAATTATATACAAACATCCTAGTTAGATCCGGACCGTTGGATTTATGAGATCCAACGGTCGTGATTGAAGGCTGGGGAAACGACGTCGTTTGGACTTACTAGGGACCGGACCGGGTTGGGGATTTGGGCTAGACTGGTTTGCAGGGATATAACCGTGTTTGGGCCTGGGAATTTCTATTGATTTGGCCCAAGTTTGGGTCTTCTATTAAGACCAAATTTTCTACTCTTATTTTCTTTTTATTTTCTTTTCTTACTTTTAAAATTTTTATAATTTTCTAATTTTTATAAAAATGTAAAACTAACATGAAATCCTGATTGTTTCAAAACAAAGACTAATTAATTCATAAAATTGTTTAAAACTATTTCATGACAAATTCCCAATAGAAATCATTAAAATGCAAAAATGCACTAATTTGTGATTT